TTTGAAGTTTGAGATTAATTTTCAGAGGACTGATGTGAGTGTGATGGCAGAGTAATATATTCAGCCTTCTTCTTCTCCCCAAAGACCAGTAATTTGTCATCTATCATGAACAAATTAACTCTGGATAATTTAGGATCCACTTGAGGAGCCACAACAATACAATGAAAGAAAAAAAAATAGGAAAAGGAGTTGTTAGGTCAGTTTGAGGTGGCTAAAGAATAAGACACCAGGCAACCCACCAATCAGGCCTCAACAGAACCACCTGTCAATCAGCGGTGTCTCCTRACCAATCCTGGATCTCAGCTAGCTCCCYCAACAAACCCTAGTAGGACAAGGGACTCTAAAAACCTCCCTTTCCTGTCCCAAGCCCTCMTTTTCCTGTCCCACGCCCAATAAAAATTCCAGTCTGGCTGGGCCTGTACAAGATTCCCCAGACTTGCTCTGTTGGACTGGAGGGTCTGGCCCAGGAGCGAATCTCAATAAAGCCTCCTTCAGCAGCCTTTTAATCTGTCTCCTTGGTCATCGGTGCCTGACCTTACAGGGGTGACTTCAGCAAGATGGCAGAATTGGAAGTGCCAGAAACACATTAGAATGGTAAGAGGAAGGTCTCTCACTTGACCACATTGCCCTTCCAAAGTTGTCRTGGTGCCACACAGAGAGGATTCTCCTAGATACAAGAGTGGGAAAAGATAAATGGAAGTGTACATCTAGTTTATCCAGCACTGTRGGATTTTTCTCCGGAGCCAATACTGTCTTGATTCATGGGGCACAATRAGGATCAAAACATGGCTAGATTGTTTGGAGTCAGGTAGAAACAAAGAAAGTGGGCAAGGCTCACAGTGTTCAGCTTGCAGATAGTGGTAGTAGTTCTCTGTTTCTGAGGCAGTAGTCCACTTTATGCTTTGAATATAACAATTGCAGTTCTGCTTCTGCTACTTATGTTTAAAAATAGACTCGTTTCTTTCTTTTCCTGTCTCCCTGCTCCTCCCTAATCTCTCTMCCATCATTAATCTCAGAGGAAACAGGATTACCTTTCTTCCCCATCCTAGGCATAATTATCTCTCCCTGAGTACACSCCCACCATAGGAACAAAGAAGTCCAGACTTTGTGGATGGTACCTGAAGATGTCAGAAATGACTATCTCCCAAATTAACAAATTACAACTCCAGATTGAGAACATGTGGAATGTAGCCTTTACCTCTTTAAAAGCCCCYGGATCCTGCTGATGGGCAGAATCACAGGCTTTGGGACAGGAATCCCCTGTGTTTCTTCTTTGCTAGCAAAGCAAAAAGTCTTCTTTTTCTTTTTTATCAAAACTGTGTCCTCATTGTTGGATTGGCATYGGGGACAAGGATYTAGCTTTTGGCAGTATTTCTTCCACCAGGGTGATCTGAGATTGCCTACCCATTAAGCTGTGCTGACTGCTCATAGAAACMCACTGAGGAGTTCSACCTGGYTTAASTCTTTAGACAGCCATCCCTCCCASACTCAGAACCAATCTGAAGGCTGTCCATACATTTCTACAGAGCATAGTGGCTGCCCCCACTCAGTATGGGAGTCTAAACATGTATTCATCCCAGCCTCACCCAAGCCCACCCACCCCAAAGCTATTCCTAGGCAGAGAGACAAGCCTCAACTGTACATCCCCATTGAGCATAATTTCTTTTTCTGTTTGTCCCAAGCAACAGCTGTAACAAAATTGGAGCCCATACTGCGACCCTGCCCAAATGCAGAATACAAAMAGCAATACCATCTGACTAATAAATACAGCTTGCATCCCTACTTGATGAGAGGCTATTGAAGTGCTCAGCCAGTAGCTTTGCCTCATTTCGGAGTCTAGCCAGTGATCTCATCAGATAGTGGAGCCCATCTATGTAGCCCTACATACTCAGAGAGCAAAGTCAATGGACTAGCCTAACTAAAGAACCCAGCAGCAAAATCTGCCTGCCTATCATAATTACCAACTGGCCCATACAGAATCCTAAAAGCTATAAAGAGAAGGTGTATTCCTGCCAAAGAACACGTAGAAAGTCTGGAARAGGTGGTTTCTTTTTCAAATGCACAGACAAAAATCAAAAGGAC